CCGCCGCCGTCGCTCGGCGCTGTTTTCTGGTCGGTAATGGGGCAGAGATACGGATCGTTGACGCAATTGATGCTGCTACGCCGAAAGGCGGCGGCGGCGTAAGCGGCGCGGCGCGACGCGGTGGCGCGGGCAGGCCACCGTTTGAGGTCAGCGATAAAACTGGCCATTAGGGCTGGCGGTGCGCCGCTGTTTAACAGGCCGACACAAACAGCCCGCGCCCGGTGACCCGAGAGATGACCTTACACGTGATCAATAGGTCGGCGCGCGCCCCGCTGGGTCTCATTTGACACCTCCCAGCTTTCCCCTAACGCCGCCCCTCGAGGTCGAACTGACCCGAGGACGGGAGCGGACTCGGAAGTCGGAGCGCTAATCGATTCATCGTGACTCTGAATAGAGTCTTACTCTTATTCGAGTCGCACGAGTTTACGTGGTGATCATGATCACGTTAAAGCAGTGCCAGATGACTCAGGAAGAGCTATGAACGAATTGACAACAGAAACAAATGGAACCGTTAATTGCACCGCACCTGAGTGCACCGGCCACCGGGCTGTTCTTTTCAACCTCATCTGCTTGTTACGAGTCGACGAAAGACGAAACTCCATTCAAAACATCGGCATTGTGAACCCCTGCGGGTCTTCGGCAGTAAAATCCAAGCCATTACCGCGGCTTTCATCGGAGCTATCACAGCGAATTATCATAACTTCCCACCTCTGACTAGATAGAGTTCTGCACGGCTGCAATTTTCCACAGCCTAGCCGCCCCGCAGCCGTGGCTCCACAGCCACAGCCGCCCACAGCCGTGGCAAACTGTGGGCAGCCAGCCGTCAGCCGGCCGTGGATACTTTCAATGAAATGCAACCATAATAAGTTGTTTTTAGTTGAAACATATAGCCAAAAGCACATTGCAATGGGCTATAGATTCTCAAGCTCATGAAGCATCATAGGTTAAGTGGTTGTGTATCTGGCTTTAGGCCGAAGGCCTGAAGTCTGATGCGCGACGCATGCCTACACAAGGCCTTGCAAGGGGTTAAGAAAGATGGGTAGGTACCTAGGTACCTACATCAACAGAAAGCATAAACAACGAACCAGAATAGAAGCACTAGCAGTGTAGACATCTAATGCCAAATCCTGAAGCATGGTTGTGGGACAGAACAACAGACCCTGATGCTTTTCATTATCAATGTTAGGTATGGAAAATGAAACTCAAGTTGATGGACTGTCAAACAGTGATTGTCTATCAAAACTCTTGCTTCTTTCTTACCTTGCATATTTTCTGGGGCGTGATATGCCAGACTTGAAGCAGCCTTCTGGGCAAGTCTCAAACTAATTTGATATGCAAGGCATCAAAACACTAGTGAGCATCCAAGAAAGAAAAACATTCTTCTATTTTGATTTTTCCAAATAATGATCTTCGCTCAAATCCCCAAGGACGTGCGAGCCACAATTACCTCCTTTTAATCAAAAATTTTACTTGAGTTTTTAATGACGTCAATAGCAAAGAAGTGGCAATAAATTGTTTTGTGTCACTATAAACAGCCATAAAAATTATAATTAATAAATAGTAATGCTATACAGTCAAAAAGTTGCTCTTGAATAAAGATTAAGTATCAGATATTTACATTTTCAGAAGAAGACGTCATTTTATTAGTAAAGTCAACAGCTCGCGTAAGAAATATTGTGTTCAGGGTTTTCACCGTCATGTGAATTACGTGTTCATGGTTTTCACCATCATGTGAATTAACCGTAAGTAAGGTTCATGTTCACTTATAATCTAAATTCCATTGGCTTCGTTGATCAGCATTTTCTGTTAGCGGTCACTCACACACCAGTTAGAACATAAAGCGCCAGTTTTATATTATGTAACTTGCTGGACTTGCCGAAAATCCAGAAATACATCTAAGAGTTATTTTAGATAATATTTTATGAAGCCTTTACCTGCCCTTACCTAGGCGTGATTTCTTTTTCTATTACCTGAAAGAATTATTGAATGCTCGTCTTCAATAGCTGTAAGGTGCTCTCCTAATGACCAGGTGAGATTGATTTGAGAGGGATGTGACAATGCAACATGCTGCATTTTCTGAAACTGTCAAGCTCTTGATGATGAAGGAACAATTGGTACCTATAATTAGTATTCTGTACCAGAGTGCAAACTCCCCTACAACAAATGGTAAAACCATTACAGGTTTTGAAAGGCTTCACCACTTTCAATGTTGCCAGGCATCCTTTGCATGATTTTTACAGGCTAGACTGCTTATCAGAATGTGAGATTAAGGATTTAAAATTTTATATTGGAGTACTTAAGATTGAGGTTGAAATCTCACAGCCGTGGCCACAGCCGTAGCCGTGTTCTTGGAGATATTTGCAGCCGCCCCGGCCCACAGCCGTGGGGCTGCAGCCAGCCGCGGCTGCAGCCGGCCAGTGCAGACCTCTACCTCTGACCTCCCATTTCTCCCCGCGACCTCGGTAGCTGAGGAAAGCACTGGCCCATCCCGGCCACCACCTTCCCAGCATTTCCCACCCTTGAAACCAGCTCATCAGCTGAGAGCTCTGACGGCGGTATCAGTGGCGCCGCGGCGGCAGACACGGCGCCGGCGACACTCGGAGACAGTAATGGCGCACCCGTCCGTCGTGAATCACGCGCGGCGTACGATCTTTGTGGCGCAGGGCGCGCTGTGTGACACAAAGCGGCCATTGTGCGCCGCTAATGTCTCTGTTTGTCTCTGTTTGTCACCGCGGTAGCACCCAGTGGCCGACGGTAGCGCGACTCGGAGACAGGACGGTACACGGCGCGACCTACGACCGACGGCGCAGGAGATATGGGAGACCGGAGTTCCCCAGAGATTGATGACGGTCTGAGGTAGGCTGACATGTGAGCTGACCCATTACACCGCAATTCAGGCAGCTTGCGGATTGCAGATTGCAATATGTAATAGATCAACACAAAATAGTGTCGAATAATATGCTTGTCGGAATGCTTCGCTGGTAAATATCTTTTTTTTAAAGAATATTTGTGGCTGTGAATTGTCTAATAGAGCTATATTAATTTGTTTTGTTGGATGCATTCACTGGCATCTCATAACAAATTTCATATATAAATTTATGTTTTAAAAAGACTGACATCATTCTCAATGGCAGCAGGCCCCTGACCCTCACATCCTCAGGGTCAGGTCAGGTCAAAGTTTCTCAGGAGGGATCCCACAGACTGCCGCGGGGCTTTCAGGCGCTGGGTGGAGACTGGGGGTTCAGCGCGGTGCCATGCAGAGTTTACGAGTGTGCCCCGCCCGGCCCCTATGTCCAATTAAGCCGTGAGGTCACCCGAAGGTCCAGCGGCAGCGGCAGCGGCCGGGGTCAATCCCACGCCGAAGGGGTGCACTCACACAATGAGCACTTCACTGGCCGCTGTTATGACGATGATATCTCGGTGTTTCTCGTTAGACTCAGCCACATACGGAGAGCCGGCGGCGGCGGGTTACGACAGAGCGCGTGCGCCGCCAGACGCCAGCCCGCTGAGTTCCCCGCGCACAGACTCGCCCACTCTCCATTTGACCACGAGCTGCGCGCGGCTAGAGTTCGGAGAGCAGCAGGAGGTCCGGTCGAAGCAGATTTAACGGCCAACTCAACCCTGACTGGTGACCGTGGCCGGTGCACAAACAACACATTGACGCCCACTCAGCGTAGCGCGCGCCGCTGCCCCGGGCTGGCGTTAGAGCCCGACATCGCCTTTTCCTGCTGTGCACCGCCCTCGCCTCTTTCCGCAGCTTGCCGGCCGGCCTGCGTGAGCCGGTCATCTATTGGGACTGTCAAGGTCAAACGTCGGGTCACGCTTGAGGCGCCGCGCTGGTGGCCAGGGTCAAACAGGGTAAAAACTGACCTCAAAGTCTCGCCGCCAGACTTATCGGTGCTCGCTTTTCTGGTTTAGTCCGAAGAGAGAGAGAGAGAGAGAGAGAGAGAGGAGAGAGAGAGAGAGGAGAGAGAGAGAGAGAGAGAGAGAGAGAGAGAGAGAGAGAGAGAGAGAGAGAGAGAGAGAGAGAGAGAGAGAGAGAGAGAGAGAGAGAGAGAGAGAGAGAGAGAGAGAGAGAGAGAGAGAGAGAGAGAGAGAGAGAGAGAGAGAGAGAGAGAGAGAGAGAGAGAGAGAGAGAGACCGCGGTCCGGCCGGCCCTGAGCGTGAGCGATCGGACGATCGGCCGCGGGGCAGAGACGAGCAGTGCCGTCACGGTCGAGTTGTGATGGTGGCAGCAGCGGCGACAGGCCGATTACGGACCGGTGCTGGCCCGTGACATGCGAGCCATCATCGGGTGCCGTCGAAGCCACCGGGGCGCGGTCGGGGGGGGGGGGGGGGGGGGGGTTACCGAAGGTTCGGGACAGGGACAGCCAGTCAGCCGTGAGGCTGTCAATGGTGGTGGTGGTGGTGGTGGGCCGGGGGGGGGGGGGGATGGTATGCGGGACTGGGGGAGGGGATGTCATAATATTGTGATGTGTAGCTGAACAACCATTGTTGTGGTTTGGTGCGTGTTGCCATGTTACTAGGGTAATTTTATTCAAAGAATGAATTCAGCATGCCTTTGTTTGCACGTGCAATGTCTAGTGATCCAAAAGATTAGGTTCATTTTAATTATAGAAACTGCAAAGTTTTATAAAGGTTTATGCTCAATCTATTACTTTTCTTGAACGTGCCTTCAGTCCAATGACTAACAAGACACATATGCTACCAGTTCACCTGAAAACTTAGCCGGCGACCCCGGAACAACTGTCCAACAGAATCAGCTCAAACCCAGAGTGCCGGGACGACGCGAAAGCTGCGGGAGCAAAGGGCAAATGTCGGACCGTGCCCGGCAGTGCAGAGCACATCCCCACTCGAGTGGCTGAAACGCCCGAAACGACCGGACGCGGGCCGTGTCATGGATATTGTACGACACGCTTTCTACGCCGGTGGAAGTGGGCGCCGCGCCGGCGTAATTAAGGCGGCGTCGGTCCGATTGCGTGACCAAAAGTGACACGTACCTGACCCGCCCTGGCAGCAGATTTCGCGGTGCAACAGCTGCATCCCTGCAACAGCAGACAGACAGACACGGTTAGAATATCTTGGAACAGCAGCGAATTGAACAAAAATTACTGCTGTTAGTTAAAAGGCAATTTTTCTTTTTATGAATAATTTCCGACAAATGTCCTCGTCATTTTTTTAACACTATTACACCTCAAACATGTCTTATACAATGGCTTCACTAATACAGTCATAAGAATCGAAACTCCATTTGCCTAAACCGCTGCGAAGTTTGACCACCGCGGCGATACGGCGCGGCGGTGCCAGGCGTCCGGTCGCACTTTCTATACACGTGACGACAAAACCGTCGCCTGTGACCCGTTGACCCCTGGCCACCCAGGGTGCACTGATGACCGGATAGGGCCAGCGGCGGTGGCGTCGGCCGGCGGACGCCGCCGTTTCGTTTCTCCACCGCCACCGGTCACAGGAGGTCACGTGCGGCGCCTCAGGTCACCAGAGCTCACCAGGGGTTACGGCACAATGACGGGCTCGGTAGCGCCGGAAGGTGACGCCAGCGGTGTGAGATTGAGGCACGTGTCGCATTGGGCCACCGTCGGCCGGCGAGGGCGAGAGGTCAGCAGGAAACCGCCGCCGGCCCGCCACCGAGCGCCGACCGAACGCGATGGCTTGGGAAACCGTCAGCCGCGAGCGCCGCCCAGTCGACGGGCCGACATTTGAATGGAATCGAGGCAAGATGATATCGCTTGAGTAAGCGACATAGCTGTTTGCCTGGTGGTAAGGTGCGTTTGAGCTGCCATGAGCGATCATGCTAAGGTAGCTTAATTAGACGATCAGCTGACTTCGTCACCTGCGGTGACCATGGATCAAGGGAGCTCTCGCCCTCCCCTTCCCCGCGCACCTCAAGTGTAGCTCGCCCTTCCAACGATCACGAAGCCCCGGAATCTAGAGACCGGGGGCCCTGTGGCCCAATTTCACGCGTCCGGACGCCGTGAGCCTTCACCAAGGCCATCTGCGGCTGTCGGCGGGCCTTCGAGCCACCGCACCCTGACCCGGGCAGGCCGCAGTGGTTCGGCCAGCCGGCCCGGCCCGGCCACACATTGCCGGGAGACGGCGCCCGGTGGGAGGTGGCGCTGGGGAGTCACTGAAGCTAACTGCACATTCCATGTCCTCCAACACCAACAGGGAAATGCCGGGATTCCAATGGGGTAACACCAGACAATCCTAAAACACTACCGGAAATAAGTCGGCAAGGATCGGTGAGCGCGGTGGTCAGGGAACTGCGGATCGTAAGACCTCAAGGTGCATGTTTCGACATTTTTTTCTTCAATGAATGTGAGTTGCATTATCGATATAGCACTACCCAAAATTTTCATCTATTTCAGTGAGCACCTCCCATCAACTTGGCCCCGTCCCGCCAACTCCCCATGCGCTGTCGTTACAATCAGTGCCGTTACGCCTGCCGTTGTCGCCGCCTCCCCTAACGAGTAACGACCGACCGCTCCCGCGGCGGAGGCGCGTCCCTCGGCTCCCAGCGCGGTCTGAGTTGACCCCAGGGTGAGGAGCGTCCGGCGGGCCGACGGGGGCGCCTGCTCAGCTTTCTCCGCGGGCCAGGGCCGGCGCCGCTCCCACGCCCGGGCCCCGGGGCCATGGGAGCGGCACGGGCGCCGCCGGTCGCCCCGCTGACCCCGGCGCCCCTCCCCACGACCCTCCCCGCAGGACGCGCACCAGACCCAGAGGGGAAAGAAGCGTCATGAATCGTGGTGGCTCAACTGTGGTGAGAAACATAAAAATGCACAACGTGCGTCTTAGGTAGGGTGGGATTGTGTGCGTGTGTAACTGTTTGGTGCTCATTCTTTTGGCATGACAGCTGGTTGTGAAACAATTGGCCAGCTGCTCCGTGCGTGGCATTCACTTGTTTCAATTAGGTGAAACCCGGGCGAGGCTTGATCAGATACCCTGCTATTGAACTGGCGAGACCGCCCATGGTAGTGGACCGAGGTGACATAATAATAGAGCTGACCTGACAACTGTCATCGACAACCACCAGTAGCGTTTCAGGTGTCCCAGGTCACCGCAAGGTCATGTGGGCCCATTCATCGCCCAGCACCTAGATATTATCGCGCTCGGAAACGAAACAATGGAATGCTGCCCCTGGGCACGGCCGACGGCGCATTAATTCCTCACCGAAAAACGTTCACCCAATTACAGTTCCGAACGACCGGCTTCTTTTCGCATGACGTACGCGAGAACAGTTTGAACCGTAGTGTGACAAACCTCAAACCCAAGCTCGGTGAGCCGTTTCGCTGGCTCCTCCAGCCGCGGCACCTGGCGTGTGCCACATATTTGGAGCGCGCCTGCCGAGCCTGACGGTGCCAGAGGTCAGCCGGGCCTCCACGAAGGTCATCGCCAGCGGGCGGTACGGTTTCCATAATCCGCCCATCTCATTTTCACCGACCACGGACGGCCGTCACGGCCAGGCCACGCCTTCGCTGGGTGGTCACAGCCGCCGCATACGGAAAATTGTTACCTAAATTTTAAAGGAATTCTTCATAGAGGCAACAATGGCTGGACCGCTGGACGCTTTGAACGAAACCTTTTATTGGCACACTGGCACGGATAATTCTACTAGCCTCAGCCCTTGCTTCGGGTTGAACCACAACACAAGTCTTTGCCCGAAACTCCAAGAATGTTGCGCAAGAGGGGATCAATTTCCAGCCCCACCTTACTTCTCGACCCTGGCATCGGCCGGCTGAGACCGTCGGTCTCCGGTTCACCAGCTGTTGAACGTGCCTCCTGATCGGCCGGCGGTCAGCCCTGCTCTAACGACGTCCGGTGGACCAGTTCGGGTACCGCGCTGTGTCCTCCACGACCCGGACAGCACCCGACGACCTGAGGCACCGCTATGCGGTCACCCGAGACCCACCAGTGGGGTTTCAGTTTCGTCATACAAACAGACATCATTACAGGTGGCCGCGTGCTGGCCCTCGACGACATTACGGATGGGCTGTGGGAGCTTCGAGCAGACTGCTGGTGGGTGCGGAAAAGGATAATTGGGCACGTGATGACTCTATACTTGGCTATGTGGCAGGTCTGAATTTAAACAGGTAACCAAACAAAGTCAAAGGGTTATTTATTTGTAAACACAGTCACTCACAGACTAGCAAGAACATGTGTAGGTATAACTATAAATTTAGTCCCTCTTATTTTAGTTTACGTAGCTCGTTAGAAAAATCGATGTTCTTTTAATTTATTAAGTTTTTCGATGAAAGGTTTAAGGCCACGTATATTTTCTAAATTTATGTTTTGACAGTGCTTGTCACCTTCACCGGCCTCGCTGCATTCTTTCACAAGCATTCTCGCTTCAGTACCTAACCAACTCACGCATCGCTCCAGCCCATCCGTCGCCGGGGGTCATACCCCACCGGGTCAGTCGGGCCCATCCTACGCCGCGGGCGCCCGGCCTCGCCACCCCTGACCTCGCCCCCCCCCCCCCTGCGGTGACCCTCGGGGCGGCCGGCCGATCGGAACAGCTGACAACAAACACTCAAGGTCACGCCTCTTCGTGCCGTGCGCCGTCTGTCGCACGCGCCGCAGCGGAGCTGGAGCTAATGAGAGCTGTGGCAGCCCTCGGCGGGGAGGGGTGGAGGGAGGGGAGACGGCTGCCACGACCGTGAAGAGCCGTCTGAGGATAAACAGTCGGATTGGATCGTAGTGGAGCCTCCACCGTGGAGGGCTGGATAAGACAGGACTAGCAAACAACTTCTCTGTGGGAAGAGCAGGGGCTGAGTTAGAGATATGTATTGGAGGAATGCATGATTTGCATGATAAATGCATGATTTGAAGAGGAAAAAATACCGCAGTGAACTGACACAAAAACCATAAGTGGTGACCACCAATGACTAAAATACATTTCATCTCAAACGAGAGTTGTCCAAAGCCAGACAGGTTACGAAGATGGGACCATAAGATTCGATACAGCGTCTATCCAGACTCACCCGAGATGCTGGCGATATGTCGTTTAGTGTGGCTGACAGGGGGCTGGCCGGGTCTCAGCTGGAGTTCGCCTGTCCGCCCCTGCCGACATCTGGCTACCTAGCACCAGTCTGTCTGCTCCCCCCCCCCCCCCGAACCCCCTCGAACGGTCACCGGTGCCCACAAAAACGACCGGTGAACCGTACTGAATGAAGCGCTTGGACGCGGGCACCACGATCCGTACAATGGGGATGATTGAGCCCAGTGACCCGAGTGACCCTGACCGGGGAGCGGGGCATTCAGGCGACGCGGTCAGAATCTGACCCTGACTGACCCCTGGCCACCCACTGAACGATAACCGCCTCAGGCGCGAGCAGCGTGACCGTCGAGGGACCTCGGGTGACATCTAAGTGACCCCGATGTGACCTCTGAGGACCCGGAGGTTATCTCTAGGTGACTATTGCGTGGATCGTCTTCAAGGATGCGCCTATTTACCCGTAAAGCGATCGGTGATCGAAACGGAAGGGGCGCGGTGCCGTTTTACATAGGAAGTCTAGACACAACCCATGACGAAGTGCCGTCTGAAGAATTTATATAGGACTTAGGAGCACCAGTATAACTGCTGACATCTGCACCATCCGATCTGGTGCTCCTGCTGTGACCTCCCACTATTTGATATCGGACCTCCCGCCGTCCCAATATACCGACCAGATCCGTCCGCCCGCCTGCCCGCCCTATTGATCACACGCAATGGTCCTATTGGTTGCAACTATGCAGGCTTGCGCAAGCGGCGGCGGGGCGGCTGAATCCGGGAGCCACAGCGTGCCGGCGGACTTCTGCCTGAGTAAACAGGATAAACAGCTCTGCGGAGCGCCGCGGGGGCGGCTGGGGAGGGGTCACGGCTCCGGGGACGGGGAGGGGGAGGAGGGATCGAACAGGAGTGGTTGGCGCTTGTGCTGCCTGGAGCCTGTTACCTGGTACACTCCGTGGATGTTTGTGCCACAACTGGACAAGGTAAATGCGGTAGTTTTGGAAATAAATCGACCATTGCGGACGAGACTGTGAATAAATG